TACCTGTCAAACAATCCATCTCCCTCCTAGCTTCTAGGAGACACAGCATGTGTGCAGGAAATCAAGGGCTGCAGCTGGTGGCTAGCTGGGGAGCAAGACTCCCAGATTGATTTGCATCATTGTAACCTTAATTGCATAACTGCAATCCTGGAGATCCAAAGGCAAGTCTGGATGCACTTTTACTCTCCTCTTTTAAAACCACTGTAACCATCATGGCAAAATGAAACTTTAAAAGTTAAGCTTTATTTCATTAGAGACAAGTGGCTTCTCCAAACACCCTAAGGCTGAGGGAGTAAGTTGTCACCTCTTCTCTAATGCCCATTAGTGGACAGGAGATGAAGATGCTGCCCCAGAGGTTAAGGTCCAGGTTCCTTTCTCCAGGGAGGGAATGAAGCCCAAGTCTCCTGTGTGTGTTTGGGCAAGAGCAAATGGGAAGGAATGAGGGGCAGGTAAAACCATCAGCATCTCTCCTGAACTCCTTGTGCTCGCTTATTTCATCAAACCACAAATAAACAGAGCAGAAATCTCATGTTCATCCAAACAACTAATTTGCTAAGTTGCCTGTATGGGTGCTTCCTATCAAATAACAAAATTACACTGAATTTAATGGTATAGTTTGGCTTTATTTTATTTGTTTTCTGAGACTGGTTCTAGAACTTGTGGTTAATTCATGGTCCAACAGTGGAATTATGGGTATGACTGCTACATCTACCTAGCTCTATATACATTATAGGAACAGAAAGAGTCTTCTGTCTGTGCTTCTCCTTTTTTTCTCTTGTTGCTTTTGCTGTTTTCTGTTGCAGTGAACTATTGTTCTCTGCCATGTGCCACTTTGCCTCGGAGTCAGCTGAGTGTGGACTGAAACCTCCACAAACTGTGAGCTAAATAAACCTTTCCTCCTTTAACTTTGAGTGTCAGGTATTTTGTCCTAGCAACAACAATAACAACAACAAAAAAAAGTAACTAAGACAGTAGGTAAATAACTAAACAGAAAATCTTAATTCCCATATCTTTTGTGGTCCTATTACCCTGTTCTTGGTTACACAAAAAGGAAATGTAACTGCTTCCTGTTACCATCTAATAGAGACCATCAGACCTTTAACCTTTGCATTTTATCTTTATTACTATCCTCAGTGTCTCATGATTCCTCTATGCTGCCATATCCAAAGGTTGATTTTCAGTTCACTTAACCTCACAGTAGCAAACAATGCACTGAGGTATTTTCTCCTTTTCTGAACTATTTTTTCCACTTAGCTTTTGGGGCTTCCCTCTTTTGGTTCCTCTATCTCTGGATTCTCCTTCTAAGTTTCTCTTGATAGTGGCATCCTTATTTCTTCAGGGCCATATAATTACCCTTTGGCTCTTGTTGTAATTATGCAATTAATTTCCTCATTCAGCAACTATCAGTGATTCTAAAACTGTAAGCCACAGTTGTTACTGGTTAAAATTCAATTGAATCGGGAGCAAAAATTTTAAATAAATAAATAAAAGACAAAAAACCTGAATCTTATATGGTAAGGGTAAGTTTCTTTCTGGAAACTTCTAACTGTATACATGTCTTTGGTCAGTATGTAAAATGTATTTTGTATCTTAGGTTGCAACCTGTGCAATCTCATTCTACCCTGAGGTTTAAATGCCATCAATGTAACTTATTTATGTACATTTCTACCCCAAACTTCAGTTGTTTCTAGCCACCTGCTACCTGTACAGATCTGTATGAATTGCCAAGTAGCATTTCCAATTTAACACGTCCTAAATAAAATTCTTCAGCTTGTCCTCTCACCCCTCACTGGCTTGGTATGGCATGCATTCTTTAGGTTGCACAGGTGCCAGACTTTGGAATCAACCTTAACTGTGTCCTTTCCCATCTACATCTAAGCTGCAAATCCTATTGGTTCTACTTTTTGAAGTATACCAAACACTATTTTGCATAGGAGGGCCAGAACAAAGAAAGCATAAATAAAAAAGACAATGAAGACATAGCTTCAGAGTTATTGATTAAAGGAAAAGACATTTAGGCTATACTGTGGTTTGGCTAGGTGTTCTGCAAAGGGCTATGTGTCAAAGTTTTGGTTTGTGGGTTGCACTGTTGGAAGATGTGGGAATTAAGAGGTGGAGCCTTTAGGCACTCTCTAAATACTTGGAGGCTACCCCTGAAGAGTAGTGGCAGTCCTACCCTTTACTCTTTTTTTTTTTTTTTTTTTGGTATCAGATTCCAAACTCACAACCTCGCATTTGCCAGGTAAGCACTGTGCCCTGGCCTTCCATCCACTCTTGAGCTCCTGATGAAGATGGTTTTGCTGTGCCACGTCCCCCACTGTGATGAGTGGCCACATCAGAAGGCCAAGGCTTCCTCCTACTTCTTTATCCTGGAGCAGACTTCTACAGCTATGAACCAAATAAAGCTTTTCTCTTGAAAAATTAATTATCTCAGTCTTTTGTTATGGTGACAGAAAGCTGAGTAATGCAAACTTGGAGTCAGGAAACTTGAATTCAGGCCTGGTTCTACCACATCATGACCGTGCAACACCTTAGTAGGTTATTAATCATCTCTTTCTTTGTAAACTTTTCATTATTATGTGCATTAGCTTAGTAGAGATACTGCTCATTGTGTTACATGAGGTGCTATTATTATAGGCTTACATACATTTGTCACACACAGCAATAATTTTGTTTGCAATGAAACCATAAATAAAAAGCTAGATCATGCTTTATACATTTAACTATTGGTGTAGAGCTGGATATGACAGTTCTTAGGTAATACTTGTTGCTTGATTAAAGCCTGATTTCTGGAATAATAGCTCATTTTCCAGATGCCCTAGAAAGAGTGGGCAATTTCTGTGTGTTGCAAAGACTATGAAGAACGCATATTAGAGTCTTCAATAGCACATACAGAAAAGGTGTGGAACTACTCTCTTGCCCCAGAGAGCACCTAGTCACTTATGAGAGATCCTTTTCCTGCAAGCCTTGCTTTCAAAGTGCAAAGGCTTCTTCCCATTTGTACTTTGTTCCTATGATGGTGATTGCTTCCTCAACTGTGGGTGGGGTGGTGTGCATCTGAACCCAGGATCTGACACACTGAGTCATCAGTCCCCTTTCCTCTGGACTCAACTCGTACACACTAACAGCCTCTTGCTGGAAGGGTGCAAGGAGAACAATCACTGCGTGCTATGTGTGCTGGGTATTTTAAAGCACCACGCAGACATCATCTCTGGAAGGCTTGATACAGACATGACTCTCCCAGTACCCAACCTGTCTGGCAGCAAAGGCACTGCTCCTCAACTCAGCAAACACAAAATGAGACAGAGCAGGGAATCTTCAAAGACCCAGATGTTTAAAGACACCCACGAATTCAAGTCAGACGCCTCAAACACTTTGCCCACTGAGGCACAAAGCACCTGAAGAATTTTGCAAGCTGACATTTATGAAGATCTTACTGCCTTATGACCCTTGCCTTCTTTCAAGCCCTATATGAAGGGCCTTCTTCTCTTTGGCCTTCTTTTTGTCCTCTGTCTGTCACTACTTCATGCCATTTTACCTTTACACAAACTCAGCTGGTTTCTGCATCACGCCATTCCTTACAGTCTCCTTTCACCTCATCACCATTATGATTTATAACTAGATTCCCCCCTCCCAAGCCTGGAGTGTGTATGTGGTGGAGGGCTTGTGGACAGGGACTGGATTATGCTGGTTTACAGCTGACTTGCTGTTAGAAGGTGAGGATTGCTGCGAAGAGACAAGTCACATGGGACATGGCCTGGAAGGGTTTATCTGCTTTGCTGATCTGTCCCCATGCCGAGAGCAACTACTCCTCTGCTAGGCCACTCTGCCATGCTACCCTGCCTTGAAGACAATGGACTAGAGACTGAAACCTCTTAAACTATGAGCCAAAATAAATCTCTTCTCCTTTAGGTTGTGGGTGTTGGGCACTGTGTCTCAGTGATCAGGAACGTGACCAAGACAACCTCTCTGTTCAGTAGACAGCGCCTTTCTTTTAGATAGATGAAGAGAGGTTCAGAAGTATTAGGGAGCTGCCTAGATAGTCACGGCATAGCTAGGACTTCCCCTAGCTTTGTCTGCATGCTCCTCAGCCCTACTGCATGACTGACAGATGCTCCTGGGACTAGGCAGGCGCTGCCATTTCCTGGGGAAGGATGGCTGCACCATCCATCAGCCAACAGGCCCTTGACTCTCACGCACGGCCTAGATATATGGTAGACCAGAAAGGTAACTGCTTCCGCCTCTCGCACACCCTGTAAGCAAGGGTGTAGCAACTGGCCTTGTAACTACTGGTGAAAATTCATCCTCACACTTTCTGAGTGTGTCACAGGAATGCAGAAGGTATTTTGACCTTTCCCTATTGATCTGGAGGCTATTTCCAACCCACCATTTTGACCCTTATAATTTGTTCTTTATTCAGCCAAATATGTAGTCATAGGTGTCCAGAGGAACCTCAGAAGCCGCACAACAGATCACTTCTAGATGACAAAACAGTTCTGAAATATTTGCAGGGATTGCTTTATTCACTCAGCAACTTGCTAAGAAATGATAGATATTTTGTTTTTTATGTAATTCGGGTGGAAGAAAACTGGCTGTGGCTAACACTTCCATAAAGTTTGATCTAGAATTACGGGAGTTGGTAGAAATAGTCACGAAAAAGCGATACAATCTGGAAAGCTTGACGTGGACAGAAGCTAAAATCAAGCAGGGATCTGGACATATCCGAATTTATATATTCGAAGATTACGCTCCATGAAGACTAAATCTAATTTAAAATAGACATTGTAAGTCTCATACGTCTCCCAAGCATCCCTCTTTCGGCTGGTAGGGGTGGGGGGTGGGCGCCAGCGCGACGGCCCCTTTAGGAGCTCGGCGCCGCCTCCAGAGTCGCCCGCAGCGTCTCAGCTCCCAGGCCTCTCTCGCTCAGTCTGCGCCGCCGTCGCTGTGGCAACGCCTCACAGGCCCCGCCCCGCTCGACCACGTGACGCGCACGTCACGTGACAAGCCTGGGGGTCGGGCCTCGGCGGAGCCGCGGCGTCAGCGCGCGGTGAGAGCTCCGGGGCCCAGTGGCGCTATCTACGAGCTGGGCGCCCGCCGGAGGCCCCTCCTGCGGCTCGGCCGCGTCCTCTCGCCCCGCCGAGTCCCGGGCCAGCTCTGCGCCTGCCACAGGTGGCCGGCGGGGCGGAGGGTGGCGACCCGCGTGGAGGGGCCCTACTGGGGTGCGGGGCGCGAGAGTGGCCTGGAGGGGGTGCGGCCGGCCGGATCCCTGGCGACTCCGGGCTGTTCTGTGGCCCGCTCCCTGCAACCGGAGGTCTCTGAGGAGCTGCGGACGCCGGCGCTGCGAGGCCAGGCGGAGGTGGGTTTGTTGTCTCTCAATGGCTCACTTAGTTTTGCGTTTAAATCTTTACCTGAGACGGGCTGGGTTCTCTTTCATGTAGGTCAAGCTGTTAAAGAGAAACTTATTAGTGACTTACCTTTTTGTTTTCGTGTTTCTTTAGTGCAGCGAAACACCACTATTGCAGAGCTGTATTGGAAAAGCAGTTTGCAGAAAAGATGAAAACGAAACCTTTTTCTGCACCCAATCCCCAGTGGCTATAGGTGCACAGAGGCTGCCTTTTTTGGGTGTGTATTAATTGCATGGAATTTTAAGATGAATCTCTGCGCGTGTGGAGTTTTGGTTTTTTTCAGATTTTGATTGTATGCTGTGCAGTTAGGCAATTAGTATATATTGGAAGAAGGCCCAGCATTTCCCATAAAGCCTTTTCTTGTATTGCAGTCCCAGAGGAAGCGACTGTGTCTTTTATACAGCAAGACAGCCCGTTACTGCTTTTCCTGCTCAGACAGACTGGGAGCAATGGATTTATTTTGAAGCCAGGAGAGTGGATTAGGATAGATCCTGTGTAAAACGCGAAAGCTGAAAGAGGATATGAACCAAATCGTTAGATTCATGGACTGATGTGAAAATGCGCTGTTAGTAAATTGTGAAACCCTGGAGGAAGAGAAATTGGGTATTTGGGAGAACCGCGTTTAGGGGAAAATCTGCCGCTTTCATACAGTGAGTGAACATGCAGACAGTGGGAGGTGGTGGTGTGCAGGCAGAAGCAGTTACCAAGCTTTTTTAAAACTTAAGAGCAGTGCTAATGTGTTGTCTGGGATGCTACAGTTGAGTGAAAATTTACTGGAGTCGAAATTCCATGTTAAAAGTTGGAAACCTTACCCTTTCACAGAGTTTCTGTTTGGTGCTTCTGCGCTAAACAGGATTTGAGGGTTTCATTTGAATGGACCTTCAGATGACAGCATAGTGGAATATGTGTTCTGTTTTCTAGGAAAACGCACCCCTTTGCACTTCGATTTAACCTTAGGCAAGCTGCTTCTTCTGTTCTCAGTTTCTGATACAAAGTGTGGAAATTGGATTGATTACGACTCTCTTTTGGCTGTGGCTAGGGTTGCCAGATAAAATACAGGATGCTGAGCTGCATATGAATTTTAGATAACCACTGAGTATGTTTTTAATATAAATATTAAATATTATTTGATTTATCTGCAAGTCAAATAACTGGGTTTTGCCTTTTTCATTTTTATTGGTTTCGAGGATCAAACTCACGACCGCCTGCTTGCAAGGCAGGTGCTTAATGCTGCTGAGCTAAATCCCCAGCCCCCCGGGTTTTGTCTTTTTAAAAAAGACAGGGCCTCTCTCAGACTGAGCGTTTACCTCTGAACGATGTCCTTACCCTCTGCTTCTGCGTATTTTTGAATGTTTTATAAATGGCATGAGGCCATGTGGATTTTTACTGTGATTCTTTTCATTTGCAGTTAGGTGACTTAAGTTTCGCCCACTTTTTTTTGACATCAGGCGTGATGGTGCTTGCCTGTAGTCCCAGCACTTGGGAGGCTGCGGCAGAAAGATCTCTGAAAGTGCTCCAGGCCAACCTGAACAACTTAGTGAGACCCTGCCTCAAGAAAATGAAAATTAAAAAACAAACAAAAATTTTTGGCAATGTCTGGCAGCCCTAGCTCCAACATTTTTGTTTTTCTAGCACCGGGAAGAAATTAACTGAAAGCATAGACAGGAATGGATTAATTGAACTGTCAAGAATCCCTATTTGGGGCTGGGGATGTAGCTCAGTGACTTAGAGAATACTTAGCGTATATGAGGCTTTGGATTCAGTCTTAGCACCAAAAACCCCGAGACAAAAAGTGAAGAAGCACTGTTTATTGTCAGTGGTAGTTTCTAGTTCTTGAGGGACATCGCTTTGTCCCTGTGTTAGCTGTCCACTTTCTTCCATAACCACGTCATGTTTAGGTGTATACTCCTGGCGGAAAACGGTTTAAAAGATCTGAAAGGAAAGGCAAAGTTCAGTCATTAAAAGAATGAAAAAAAGGGCAAGCTGATGCAATGAGTGTTAGGGCAATTCAGTTTACCAAAAAGGAAATAAAAATTGTGCTTCTGAAAATAACATAAATTTGAGCCTTAAAAAAATGGCATAGTACTATTTTTTTTCCTATTAAAAAATTCTTTCTAACCCTATCTGTTCCTCAGTTATGTGACTGACTTGAAGGCATTTTCTAAAGTGATGTGCTGTTCGGATGATAAGCAGCCTTTGAAAAGTGCTTATCTTTTTGATTTTGATCTCTGAATATGGAAGGTGACCTTTGGCAGCCTGATTATTGTTTTTACTGTAGTGAGTATCACTGGAGATTATTTTTCAAAAACTACTGTTGATTTTTTGGGGGGTGGGTACTAGGGACTGAACTCACGACCTCGCACTTGTAGGACTACAGTTGTTATAATTCTCTTTTTTTTTTTTAAAACTTTTTATCGGTACCAGGGATCGAACTCACGACCACCTGCTTGCAAGGCAGGTGCTTATGCTGTTGAGCTAAATCCCCAGCCCCAGGACTACAATTTTTAATTCGTCATGTATTTTAGTTTTCTGTTTTGTTTCTGACACATGCTCTTGCTGTGTTGCCCAGGCTGGCCTTAAGCTCCTGGAACTCAAGCCATCCTCAGCCTCCCAAGTAATGAGATTATAAGGCATGTAGGACCATGCCCTGCTGTCAGGTTTTTAAAAAAGTAGGTCAGATCTAATTTCACATATTTAGAATGCCTAGATTTTCTAATTGATTTCTTCTTTCCATAGTTAGCGGGAAACTCGGTACCTGTAGCGAGCCAGGCTGATGCGAGGATGGCCTGGCTCTCCCTGTGCATGTCTGCGGTAGAGGGGTAGGTTGGTGTTATCTGGGGACAGTCAGTGTGAGGAGAGCCTCGAAGTGAACTGAGGAGGTGGCACTGGTGGGAGGATGAGTAGCCCTCAGGTTGGTAGTTGAATGACACAGGTGTTGGAGGAGGTGTAGGATGGAAGGGGGACCAGGAAGACAGTGAGCAGGATAGACAGGAGGAAAGAAGCAGATGGGAGCAGGAAGCTAAAATCATTGGTGATATTTTTCTGCGTGGTTCACCTTGATGTTCAACACTGCCTTTTCCATGTTGGGATCGGACTGCTTTTGTGTCTTTCTGAATATGCAAAACCTCAGTTGTCAGTGAGACTTTGAGAACATATTTACAGGACTTGTTACATATAGAAAAATACGCATTCCACAACCAGAATGTGGACTGCCTCCTGTGCCCTTCCTTTTTCTTAGAAGTGGCCACAGTACTGTGTTCTGTGCCTGTGATTGCTTTGCTTTGCTTGGTAGTATTTTTATAGGGACAGCCCTCTGAAGCACTATTTGCTTTTGCATATATTTTCTTTTATGTTTTAGAGCTAGGAGTTGAACCCAGGGCCTCTCTCAGACTGAGCGTTTACCTCTGAACGATGTCCTTACCCTCTGCTTCTGCGTATTTTTGAATGTTTTATAAATGGCATGAGGCCATGTGGATTTTTACTGTGATTCTTTTCATTTACAGTTAGGTGACTTAAGTTTTGCCCACTTTTTTTTTTTTTTTTTTACCCAAATCTAAGAGCTTTTCTGGAGTATACCTCTGAATGCAGCTGTTGCTTATAGAGTGTGAATGTTGGTAATGTTGCTGAATGGCTTTCCGGTGTTGTTACACTGGTTTGCTCTCCCACCAGCAGTGTTGGGGAAAATCACGTGTCTAATAAAGTTCAGCATCCAAAGTGTGTGAAGAACTCTTAAACCTAGATAATACAAAGCCATAACTCAAAATAAAAGTGGTCGAAGGACTTGAATGTGGATTTCTTCAGACAAGATTTTTACACGGCCAATAAAGAAGATGCTCTACATGCTGAGTCATCAGGGAAATGCAAATCGAAATTAGAATGAAAAACATCACAACCAATAGGATGACTGCTAACGGAGAGTACCAACAAGTGTTGGTGAGGTGGTAGGAAACTGGAATCTTCCTCCGTGGTTGGAAGGTTGCACAGTAGTGTAGCTGCTTGAGCTATAACAGCCTACCACTTTCTCAGGGGGCTGATGCTGGGATTGCCACACGGCAGAGTGGTGCCACTCCTGGGTGTGTGCCCAAGGAAAGGAAAATATCTTCACGCCAGAACCGATACACGTACCAAGCAATGTTCAGAACAGCCACAAAACAGAAACAACTTGCAAGTACCAGCTGATGAGAAGTTGACTAAGGTGTTGGCCTTCGGTAGAGTGGAATGGTATTCAGGCATGAAAAGAGCAGAGCACTCCCTGGTACTGCAGATGGACTTGAAAGTGTTCTGCAAAGTGATAAAAGATAGGCACAAAAGGTCACACTGCGAGTGACTAAAAAGGGTTACGCTCATACATTATTTGAATTACTTTATCAGTCAACATGTCTTGGCATAAGAAAAGAAGTTACTACAGTGTGTCCTTGTTTTTCCTGATTATACAGTAGGTTGGTTTTCCAGATATTTTATCTTTTAGGTATTGAAAAGAGAGACACTATAGTATTTATAAAAACCACCCCCACCTGGCCTGGTAGCACCATGTTTGGAGTGCTGAGCTGCGCCCCTGCCTTTTTATCCGAGTGTTTTCTGTGAAAGCCATACCTAACTTTCTGAGTCCTGGTGCGGATTAAACTTCCTCCTTCCATGCAGACCCGTTATGTAAGTGCTGCACGTGTAACTTCCTGTAGCGTTGGATGTGTGCAGTATTTGTGTGGCTCAGGACTGCAGGCATCAGCCACAGGTGCCCACTGACTGAGGACTCGATGTGCCTTGTCCCTGTTCTGTGCACTGGCTGCAGTTTGTCAGGGTTTCATTATTGTACGTCTTATATTATGTGACTGTTCGTCTGTGATTGTCCCTTGTCCTCTGATGATGGGGTGTCACTTTTGTTTTTCATTCATGAGCTGTGGAGATGGGAATGCAAGTGATTCCCTGGGTGGATAGGTGGAGCTCTAGCTGCTGGGTTGTAGGGTGATGGCATTTCTTAAACTTTCCTGCTATGTGTCTGTCTGTCTCTCTGTCTGTTTCTCTCTCTCTTTAAGTGGAGACTTGCTGTTGTCTAGGCTGGCCCTGAACTCCTGGGCTAAAGCAGGTTTCCCACCTCAGCCTCTCACCTAGCTACGGGACTACCGTGTGAGTCACTGTGTCCTGCTCTAGCTATATGTTGCTGTGTGAGAAATTACAAGAAGTCGCAAGCCTTGCACGGTAGATTTATTACCTTGTGCTTCTGCGGGGTGGGAGTGTGGGAGGCTTGGCTGGGCTGTCTGCCCTGCCCGAGTCCAGGCTGAAGTCAGGCTCTTGGCAGGACTGCCTTCTTTGGTGGAGCCCTGCAGGTGAACCCCTCCTGGTTCATTTAGGTGGTGGCAGAGCCTGTTCCACGCGTCACAGGACCGGGGCCTGTGGTCATGCTGAACTTCTGGAGCCACATACTTGCCTTCTGGCCCTGCGCTCATTCATCTTCAAGGCCAGCAGTTGAGGTCTCCTTCCCAAGCAGGGAAGCCTTGTGCCTCGCAGGGCTCATGAAGGCAGAGTGGGCCACCTCAACAGTCAAGGCTGTTGGTCTTGTTTCTCCTGCACAGCCCCTGCCTATTTCCCAGCCATAGTCAAGGTAGGTTTGGGTGGGTACACAGGGCAGGTGCTTGGGGGGTGTCTGTATTTCTGTTGCCTGCAGTGTGTGGAATAACTTGTTTTTCACTCTGGCTGTGCTGATAACACATTTAACCAGTAGTATGGAAGTGTTTCATTACGATAGTCACGTTATGTTTTCCCATCCTATGGGTCCCTCTCTTCCCCTTCCCTCCCCTCCCCGTCCGCTATCCCTTTTCCCCTTCTCTTCTTCCTCTGCTCTCCCCTCCTTTTCCTTTTCCTTTCCCCTCTCTTCTTCCTTCCACCCTTCCCTTCTCTCTTCCCTCTCCTCCCTTCCCCTCCAGTAGATCCCAGAGCCTCATACCCTGCTACTGAGTGGCACCCCCCCACCCCTCTTGGTGTTTTTAATCTGTATTTTTGGGGTCCATATTTATCCATAAAGCTTATTTTGTTGCTTTTATTTACTTATTTTTTTGGTACCAGGGGTCAAACTCATGACTTCGTGCTTGCCAGGGAGGAGCTCTGCTGCTCATCTACATCCCCGGCCCAATTTTGTTGCTTTTAAAAAAATATAGAAATAATTTTGTTATCTATATATGTGTACCATATTCTTAAGTCTGAGGTTTTTCCTCATAATTGTCTTTTTGTGGTTTTTATTTTCCAGTTTTATATAGTATTTTTAGTGTATGTGTACACACACAGGTGATGAGGCTAAAAATCTAAATCTGTTTTGGAGCATTTTTTTGGATTAGGGATGCTTAACTGATGCAGATATGCCAAAATAAACTCATATTTGAAGCATTTTTTGTCCTAAGCGTCTAAGATGGGAAAACATAATTTATCCTGTATCACAGTTGGCTCATTCTTTCATGCATGGACTCCGATTTCTCACTCAGTTCTCCTGGTGATAATGTTGGAGAATCTGTGGAGGGTATGTACCCAGCGATGAGACTGCATACGCATAGGTAAAATCTAGATGTGAGCATGAAGTGTATTTTCCTTCATTTTATAGAAAGTAGGCTTCTTCTCTGTCTTTTTGTGCTTTACTTTGTCACTGCTTTTTAATACATTTAGATGAACAGATGTCTTCATCATCTTTAAAAGAAGCCCACAGGACATTTTTAAATAGTGAGCACTAAAGCCTTAAATGAAAAAGAGGCAAAGTGTATTCACCTGTTTCCTATGGTACTTACCTTCGTGTTTCCTGATACAGTATTTATACCCTTGTGTCTCTAGCTTGAGATCTTGTGCATTGTCTTTCAGTTTTGATACTGGAGGATTTGGGCTTCTTAAATCCCTTATTTACCTTTGTCCATTCTCAAACTGTAGTTGCAGCCCCATTTTTAGTAAAATCAATGTTTAACTGGTGATTACTGAACTGTCACTCAGCTGCACGGCTCCATATTCCTGTTTCCCACATGTTTTGGAAATTAAATTCCCTAATTTCACTTGCGTAACTTTCACATACGAGCTCCTAGTCTCTGATGTCTGTCATGTCTGCCAAGTGTGTGCCCCTAGCTTTCTGTGGGTCTTTCCTCTGAGGGCCCTCCCACCTGCTGCTTTAACCTGCACCAGTTTGCAGCCAGCACCACGTAGATCAGATTTTACTCCAGAGCTGTGGAGGGGAGAGTTTCCGATGGCTTTTTCCTGCCTGTCTCCCGTCAGTGAGAGGGCGGTCTCTACTCTGGGCCTCAGTGTCCAGAGAATCAAGCCCCCTGTCCTGAGTATTAGGCATGGCTCGCACTCCTCCACATTGCTCCACAGAGAGCCACATTTGTGTCTTCCTCATGCATGGGAGGAGAGTGGGCCTCCAGGTCCTGTCCCAGACCTACTGATCAGAGCCCCTGTAACCTTGGGAAGCAGGGCTGCGCCGTGCTGTGGAGCTGCGGTGTGTTGCTCTGCAGCCCTACATGCGGCAGCCATCTGCCTGCATTTGCAGCCATGCCACCTGGGCTCCAGGGTGGCAGTGGGGACCTGGAAGGTCTCCTCATGTTCTTCAAAGCCAGGCCCGGTCAGGACTGGCCTGGCTGTCCTGGATGCTCTTGTCCAGAACTGTCATGTGCCACTCACGTACCTACAGATGTCCTCTAGGTGGCCCAGGAACAGGAAGCTCTGGGGAGTGAGTGACCTGGAGGTGGTTAAGTCTCTGCACCTGTGGACACCGTTCCCCTGCAGATGACCCCTCAGCAGAGCGAAGCTCCCAGCCCTTGGGGATGTTGGGAGCTCCTACCTTGTGTGTCTTACACTCCAGAAAGTTGCCGTGCATGAATCTGTGAGATGCTTCATATAGAAGTGGATGCTTTCATACCATAACCTGACTTAAAATAACCTTGCATGATAGCTAGCAGGCTGCTTACTCTAGGCTTCTAAATTTATCTCGATTGCTTAAAAAGCACTTTCAGTTAAGTCTCAGGAAGGATAACTCTATGATAGGTTCCATCCGAGCATAAGCATTTGAAAGACTCCTTGGAAGTCAATTTGTTAACCAGCTGTGATGGTTTTCGGAATGGTCTACTGCTTATCCAGGCTGACTGTGGGCTGAATAAGGTCGAGGCTGTAGTGTGACTGTCCCAGCCTGCTGCCCTGCCCTGGGAACTTGGTTGTGGGTTCTCCTGGTGGTGGTGAAGATTAAATGACATACTCTCGGCCAGGTGCTTGCTTAGTGGAGGGTCATGAGCACAGAGCTGCATTGACCTTGGGCTTTGATGTTTATTGTAATCAAGAGTAATTCTAAACATGTCGTCCTTCCAAGATGAGATTTTAACCTCTCAAACAAGTTTTCTGTTTTCTTATAAAACTTTTTTGACAAGCCAGCCTGGTGACTCAGCATCTCTATTCACTGCTTGGTGTCTTCCTCTTGGCCTCGGGGACCCGGCTTTTCCCTGCCTTGTTTCTTCATTCATGAACCCGAGATCCTCTGTTTTTTTGGTTGGTGTCTCCCTCTGAGTCCTGATTGGAATACGGTCAAGGAGAGATGAGCACTGACCTCCTGAGGAAGAAAGGGGTTGGGTGGGGAGGGCAGGTCCCTAGACTGATCGGGCTGCTGCTTGTGGCCTTGAGGTCAGTACAGAACAGGTCGGTCACCTTCAGCTGTGGGCACTCCTTAACACTTAGAGGAGACAGACAGGTGATGCCTCAGACAGGCAGACATTGTTTACGCCTTGGCCAGGGTGGTGCCAGGTAATTTCTCCAGCCGTCTTGTGGGTAGAAATGATGTCATCAAGAGAAACGTATCGTTGTGTGACTCCGTGGTCGTCTTTAACTGTATATAATGCGCACTGAGTTCCTGTACACTCAGTTATGTTCTGTCCGCCCCCTTCTTTGCTGGTTGAAATGTGGGCTAAGTACTATTTTTAGTTTTGAAATCAGTGTTGTTTCTCAAGGCCTTGTGTAGTTTTGGTGATTCATCTGGGAAAGCAACCTAGAATTTCCTCTTCCTTTCGTGGTCTTTGAATGGTGGCCCTTTCTGTGAACACCACGAGTGTGGGTTCTTAGGCCCTGTTGAGAGCCACAGCTTGGTTTGCATCAGCTCCCCAGCCACATGGCCGGCGTCTCTGGGGGTGTTTACGGGTCTGCGTAGGTCTGATAGTGTTATCTTTTTGGAGGTGGTGCTGCAAAGCCGACTTGGAAAAAAATACAAGATGTGCAGAGGAGCAAGACCCTGGGGGAAAGGTGTTTTTCTGTTCTTCTTAGATTGTAATGCTCTGGTTCCCAGTGTCTGGTAGAGCTTTGGCCCTCAGAGGAGCAGTCCCCAACTGCTGTGGCGCCTGGATGACAGGGTTGCCTGCGTGGGTTCAGGTTCCCTGGCCACCAGGGGCTCCTCCCTGCTGAGCTGGGATCAAACTCCATTTTGCTGGTGGCAACATCAGTGATGACAGAGCTTCCTGGCCAAGCACCATCCACAGTGGGGGTTGCATGGTTCTGTACTGTGTGGAGCTGCCCTGTGCACTGTGGGGTGTTCACAGCACCCTGCCTTCTGTTTCTCAACAATGGTGGCCCCCAAAAATGTCTCCAGGATGCTGCTGAAAGTCCCTTTGGGAAGAGCCACCCACTAGCTTACAGATGCCTGGCAGCTGCTGGCCCCTGCCAGGCTCAGGTAATCCTCCTGCTTTCCAGCTGCTGGTCCCCAGCCTGGCTGACAACCCCTTCCACCAACCAGGCTCTGCTTTAGTTAGCGGCCGGGTGCCAAGTGGGAGGGGAGTCATGAGGGAACAGGCAGAGCCGCAAGCAGGTGTGGCTGGACATCGAGCCTGCAGCACCAGATGTGTGTGTGTGGGGTGGCAGCCGGTGATTAGAGTGTTCAGTAAATGTTGTCTGCCATCAGGGGGAGTGGACAGTGTCACTTGTGGTCCCAGTCCTGACCATGAATCAGGTATGTGGGTCTTCATGTCATCCCAAGCCTGCCTTGGGAATCTGGGGTCAGGAATGTTTCTCTGTAACATAGTTGAAAGAAGCAAAGTGAAACTGCTACCCAGTGAACTTCCTTATTCAACTTGTTTCAATTTTGAGGCAGCTTTATTAGCTGGAGTTCATTTTTGAAATGTAGCATCTGTGAGAAGTGCAGCTGGGCTGGTGGCCTGCGGGCCAGGAGTGGGGTAGCACCCTTAAGGCCGGGCACTGTCCAGCTTGGTGGGGATGTGGAGGGTGGCAGGGACGTGCTCCCTGTTTACATTTACTCTCAGTCCTGTTTGGCTTTCGGACTTCTCTCCTGGGCTTTGTGGATTGCTTCCTACTTAGTTAAGATCATCCTGAATGTCCGGTTTGGTAAACTTG